CGCCGCCAGCTCGCCCGCCACCGGGCTAGACAGCTTCATCACGCCGCTGCCTTGACTGAACCCACTGTGGACCACCTTCACTTTTAATATGAAGCTACGAATTGCAATTAATAACATCTCCAACTTTATCAAGAGCAAAATACAATAGGTACTTAATTAACACTTTATCATAGAGATTAATCTCGATCACTAGGTTATTTTTACCTTGAGGAAGGCACTTTTTAAATAAACCAAATCGATTTTTTTTTCACAAGTTTGACGTAAATTTTAAATGTTAGATTGCACAACTAACAGTTAATTTCTAGAACTAAACTTTACAGAAATTACTGCACTGCTAAAATCGAATTTTTTGGAAACAATTTTTAACAAATTTAATACGACTGTTCGAATACTAACACATACCAGTTGTATTCACTAAGCGCTAACAATTGCTTCACGATCATTTACGTAATGGCCGTACACGGAACAGTGATTGCCACTTCTCACGGGAACTACTAATTACGTACACAATAATGTTATTTTTGTACTTGTCTTGAGGAAAATAAATAACCTTTGACTTTACAATTATACAATTTTGAATACTGTGGTACAGTGATTAGAGTACTTCGCTGTTACAATGCCAATCTAGAGTTCGGTTCTGAAACTCGAAAACTACTGGACCGATGTCAAAAATTCTTTTAGTATTAAAAAGCTACGTTATCAGTGAGAAACATAGGCTATGTTTTTTACATTTTTTTTAATTCCACGTGGACGAAGTCGCCAACAACAGCTAGTACTGAATATTTTACATAACAATATTAATTTTCTTTCAATTTAGATTTAACGCACTTCATAGATTTAAAACCAGATTATACAAATTTCTATTTTACATAAAACTTTAATATACTTGAAAATAACAGAGCATTACACAAAGAAAGTGGTGATTATGAAATAATGGTGATGTAAGCTATGGTGAGTGGATGGCGAAAGCATCAAGCAGACCAACCTATCAAGCGTAAGCACGCATATATTCTTATCGTTGGGATCAGGGCGCAGTTCAGTGAGGTGCGGCCAGGGCAGCAGCGTGGCGAGGCGTCGGGGCTTCGCCACCAGCAGCCCTGCAGCACCCACAGTCACTGCGCAGTCCGCGCCGCTCAGTCCGCACTTCTTTGACAACTCCGTGTTCAACACCGTCACACTGAACGAGTCCTTCACAGGGCCTTCGCCTGCAATGAATGATGAACGAATGATGATGAATGAAGCATGATATTAAGCTTATGTATTATGATGAACGATTCCTTTACTTTTAACGTCGATAGTTAAGATATAAAAGGTAAATATTGTACATAAATACTTAATTTAAACGTAAAATGTATTGAACGCCAGAAAATCACAGAAATAATTTGAATACCATAATACGTGAGTAATTAATTTCCTGCAATTAATGTATGCGAATATTAGCCGGGATCACCCGATTTCGAAGCGCAATACCAAGAAATATATTCAAATATTTAATAATCATTATATTATTTAGTATTTTTATGAAAAAAGATATTTTTGTAATTTTCCTATGTTCTTAAAATTAACATTATTTATAATAATATTGTACCAAATTGCATGTTATATAGCAAAGCAAAATTTTCATTAGTCTGATGAAGGTCAAGGGAAGCTGCCCCAAAGCGTATGAATTGAATGAATGGAATGATAAATGTTCCTATGTATGAGACTGAACGAACAATGGAACGTTTTGGTAAGTTATATGACAAGCTGTAAAGTTCGCCAAGGAAGCGATTTTTTAACTTACAACAAAGAGACTTGTTTAGAGGATGTTTACATATGAAAATTTGGATCAAAAAGCGCGTACATTTTCAAAAGCTATCGAATTATTTTAATAACTCATATTTTATCATAACTATTTCAAACATATAGGAAGTTTTTGTTTATTTAGCCTGAATCAGTATATATCCAACTTTCTTTATCCTATCTTGTTCTACAGAAAAAAAAAAACGAAATTAAAAATTCAAATATCCACAAAACAAACAGTCATAACTTCAAATCACTTATTGTTAGCCATCGAGCGCGTTAAAAAAAACTATAAAAAAAATATTGCATGTCACACAGAAGGAAATCTCTTAACACGACAGGTTCAAAACTCGTAAAACAATGGAACATCAAATCGTGCGTTTTGTCGTTCGTTACACATTCGTCGGATTACAATTATGAACACAAAACGCATTTGCATTCAATGTTGTGACGTCAACAATGACGCAAATTTGGGCCACGGCCGTGCGAGCATGGGTCATTAAACACGATGGAATAAACTCTGTGAAAAAAAATCTCATAGACTACGAATTTCGATAACAAAGTAGGGAAAGGATTTTTGCTATGAATATCAGATAACATAAATTGACTTACAATTTTTTTCACAGATGTTAAACAAACAATAAATCCTATCTGCTGTCAATTGGTTAAACTATTCAATAGTTATTATTATCATGATATAGAAGAATCAACATTGTAATACCATTTGAAACAATATTTTTTTTCCTATATATCTTGGCTATAGCATGGCTATTACCAGGTAGAAGATTGCAGCTTCCCTCACCCCGAGATAATAAAATAGTTATAAAACTGTCATCTAATCTTACTAATATTATAAATGCAAAAGTTTAGGATGTTTCTTAGGGTTTGTAGCCTAAACGGTTAAACATATGTGGATATAATTTGGCATAAATTTAGTCCTATGCGAAAGCTAGTAACATTATATTTTAATGGCAGCGGACCTCCTTTAGACCTACCAAGATCATTGTATGGCTGGCGACACTACTTGATGTTTGCTTATAGATTTCTTTGTTCCAAATCATAACATATTAAATTAGTACATATACAATAATCCACTATTTGTCTTAGAAAAATATGGATAACCCAAACATCTTTACGATGTCTTATTTATAACTGTGAGTAATAAGTTAAACATTTCAGTGTGAATAATTTACAATGGCACTGACTCAACGGGTCACTGGAAATGCCCTTCCTTGACGTCTGAATGCAAATATACATCTGTGTCAGTTATAAAAATAATATTATTATTGACTTATGTAAATTAAATATAAACATGAAAATCACCTGTTATATACATGACCAAAGTACCCAGTAAACAATTTTTTTTTCAAGTTTACTTTTTCCATAACTTCATCAAGCATAGTTGGAAATATAAGAAAATTACTTAATGTCTAAAAAACTAACAGCAAATATGCTTTAGTCCGAGCTTTTAATTTTTTAAACTAGTCATACTAAATTATTACATGTGTAATAAGGTAAATGGAATGCTTAGTTAAAAAATAAATAGGACTGAACTACATTTTCTTTTATACCCCTCATATGTACAGAAAGCCTAATAATTTATCGGGTTTCAATTTTCTTAACTATTTGATTCAGATATGACAGCTGATAGAGATGTATGGATGAGCAGCACATACTGTCAACCCTCCATAAGGGATAAGCCAAGTGGATGATTTTTTTTAGCTATTACAAATCTTCTTAATTCACACTGGACAATCTTATCTTGCCCATAGTTTTAACTGAACAGACCTAAGGTGTAACTTATGCAAAATTACACTTTTATACTAAACATCATTTAAATAATTTAGATACAACAAAAAAAATCAGGTTTTTTTAAAGCAAATAAATAAACATAAATTGAATTGTTTAAGCACTTGTTATCTCCATTTTAAAAAATAATTTGTAGATAAGTGAAAATATATACATATATAATTTGTGAATGTGTATATACTTAAAACTGAATTTAACATGCATAGATTGTAATTACTTTTCTTATTTATTATATTTGTATCCATAAAATTAAAGAGAAAGAAAACTGTCCAGTCTTCAAACATATCAAAAACCTTAAACATTGCTTGGATGAAGGTAGTGACATAAACTCACCAATCAAATTTTCAGTATTTAATAAGTTCCGAATCTTATCCATCCAGTGTTGAGCGTCATGGTGTGACGTCGCTGCGAGCAGTACACGAGGTTTGCATAGTGATGGGACTCGAGTTGCTTTTTACTCGAGTGACTCGAGTCATTTTTTTCTTACTCGGACTCGAGTGAAATTTTTGACAACCCGAGTTGCGAGTGACTCGAGTTGACTCGAATTACGAGTGACTCGTAACCATTTTGTTGGTTTATACTAAGCGGAGTAAGAAATTTTTACAGCATTTTCAGTTAAATTTGTTATCTTTTTAAAAACGCGCTATTTCTGTTCTTTTGTAGAGTTTATTTAAGCTTCGTTTAAGTTAATTTTATTATCAAAATTGTGTAAGAACATAATCAAACTGTCCATATTTGGATCTCATGAAAATTACTTGTAAGAATTTATTAAAATGGATTAGAACTTATTTATAGTACACTATAAAATTTCAACTAATAGATGATATAAGAGGTTTCGTGATTATGTAGACAGGTTTAGTTTAAAGGAAAACATCATTTTTACACATTTTGTACAGATTTTTTGAGTAACTTTTACGTTAAT